TGCTTTTTAATAGTGATCATACATATTCCAGAAAATGTTCTGCTGTTGTACACTTTGCAGTGCTTTTAAAAGCTTTCAACTCTAAGTTTGCTTGTTCATGGATTGTGTTATTGCTCTTCGCACATTAAATCAGATGTTCAGTTTTTAATAAATGTCTACATTTCTTTTTGCTCAGACCGGGTGGTGTTGACCCCAGCCAAACCACATCACCATGATTCGGAGTATCCAACCAGACTGAGAGTTCCACATATATATATATATATGTATATATCACCTCATGTGGAAATTTTAGTGGATCTCTTCCTAGAGAGGTATAGCCTGTTTACCCAATTCCCGAGAGTATTGGGTTCACATTCGTAAATGCAAGAATTGGGCACTCTAGAGTGTGTCTTGGGGTACTTGCTACTGGAATATACTAAGAGCAAGCTTTCCACTGCTTATCCTGCTTGGATAAGACCAAAAAATGTGGATATCTTGGCTAAACTCATTGCAGTTTTGGAAACCAAATGTGCTTCATGATCAATCGGTGAAGGTTCATGGAAATACTGCAATGGCAATAGTCTTCGATGGTCTTGATTACGCTATTGTTTCAGTGGATTTCTTTATAAAATAATCTGAGTTGCACAAATGGGGATGTCTTCTGAAGTGAATCACTCTGACCCACTGGGATTCTGCTCTGACACAATCTACTTCTGGAGTGGATTGATGAGAATTCTAACAGATTTTTTTTGTGAAGGAATCCCATTAAAATTATCACAAATTAGACCTCTTAAACCCAATTCCTGAAATGCCGATTCTTTGATGCAGAATTGATCTACTCTTCGTGAGGTAACTGCTCTAACCACTGAGTCCTGGCGCCCAGTGGTTAGAGCACTCGTCTCGCAAGCGAGAAACCTGGATCCGATTCCCGGCAGGGCAAGACCTTGGGCAAGTTTCCTTACTCTACACTCCTGATAGTAATCCCTCAAGGAAAAAAAAACAATAATAATTTGGTCACTCAATCCATAACTGTTTGTGGGACACTGCTGTGCGCAATTGGCTGCCAGGTTTCACCCTCAAATATACAGTCAATTCACTTTACAGTATATTCTGCGAAGCGCTTTAAGACGTCTAGAAGACCTGAAAAGCGCTATGTCAAATGCAAGGATTATTATTATTATTACTCTACCATAATATTTTGGGTGAATGAACAATGGTTATCATATCCCACATGGAAACAATGTCCGTACAAGTTTAAAACAAAAACAGAAATGTTTTCTTTCTGTACAAGTTTAAATGTTTTATGTTTTTACAACTGTGAAAGCTCCTATTTTGCTTGGGTCAGATCTACATTCATATTACTCCTGCAACTACAATATCTATCCATAAAATCTTTTCATTAGCTTTGAAACAAGGTATATGTTCTGTGTTTCACGGAATCCGGTTCCCATGTTACACAGTGTCAAAGCCATGAATGTATAATTTTCAAAGTTGTAACTAGTTTGGTATTTTAATAACAGTGATACAAAAGGACTCTTTGTATGTAACAGCTAGTTTTAGCGTTATGAATTATTGGGCACTCCAGATACATACTGCCTTAATTGTTTCTACATGTGTGCGTTTTATTCTACTGTATCAAACAAATTTCATTTTGCAATTCATCAGAATTACTACTATTATTGCAGTAATTTTACAGGTTCCTGTCAGATTTGAGTTAAGGTCTTCGAGTACAAGAGGATATCTATTTTGCAATGGTACAAAGTGGAACAAGAACACAGTTTATTCACCTACAAAACATTGTCACTAAATTTTACAGGAAATTCTGTGAAAAAGCTGTGAAACATTATCCTGCTTAAAAGGGCACTATATAACTATAAGCTGTTGTTGTTCGCATTGTTGCTGAAACTAAGAACCATAATAATTTCACAAAATCTGAAGTTCTTAAACTAGGAATTACATTTTTGTAATCACTGGTCGCTTTCAAAGCAAATGCCTATAAGGTAGATACAGACAGAGCAAGAATAGAGGATATTCATTTATACTTAAAACGATCTCAATAAACTGTAAGAGACAGTTTGATAATATACCTTTTAATCATACTATGCCTTTGGAGTGAGATTAATGCTGGCATTTTACCAACACTGTAAAGTGAAGGTGCTCCATTGCATTGGAAAACTTTACAAACTTGAAGTGCGACATTTAAAACACTTGTGTCATGACAATTTCAATTATACTTGGAGCAGTGAACAAGAGTTTCCTCTGCTATCCAATATGTTTACACTCATTTTTCACCTAAGCAAATTGTGGGGGAATCAATGAGGAATCAATTCGAATTGCGTTCCAAAATAATCTATTGCAAATTCTCAGGCAATCATTAGACCTCATAAGAATTTTCAAATGATTCATTTAATTCTACACCTGACACAGTGTTGTTGAGTACTATACACACACACCGACACTGTTGCTTGGATCTCTCCTTAGCCTCTAGGCAATGCAATTAGGAGTGGGAATTATTAATCAGACTTCCTGCTCTACATTGTTTTACCGTTAAACAGCGCCTTCATCTAAATCAGGCTCTTAGCTGTGAAGTTATACATCACTTTGTACTGTTTCCACATAAAAAAAAGTTCCATTGAACTAGCTCAAATTCTGTTATGTAACTGGCTTGATCATCAACATTAAACTCTACAGAAGGTGAGGAAACATTGGTAATATCTAAACTATGCTCATAATAATAATAATAATAATAATGCTTGCATTTGATATAGTGCCTTTCATGTAATAAGGACATCTGGAAGTGCTTCATTGGATTTATTATAAAGCGTAGTGACCTGCAGTCAGTATCTGTTTAATGGGGAAAAAAAGTTGAATTATTAATATTTCAGACGAAAGCGGATTAGCTTTGGGTGAATGGTGTGGTAAAGCAGTTATTCGTCGGAACGGTCAAGGCTATCGACTCGGTTTACAAAAGGTTATCAATCCAAATTAATCGGCCACTCATCTCATGGTCCTTTATGAGATGCAGCCATCCCCGCTTCTCTAATCAATTTTATTTTGCAAGATGATTCAAGACACTTAATCTCAGATGAAGGGTGCCATATAAATGCAAGTTATTATTGTTATTATAGAGGACATCATGTGTTGCCCTTTTAACGTTCCGCTTGGGCAATCGTTCACCTCTCCACCATCCACACGCAGAGAGTCTGTGCAGTATATAAAAAAGAAAAAAAAAAGAAAGTGCACTGTTATTTAAAGCTGTAGTTTTCGGATGGAAAGGAGATCAGATGGAGAGCCACAAGGCGGCGTCATTGGGAACTTTAAAACAGAGAGAGACGCGACTTGAAAGCCATATTAAAAGCCAAATCACGATTGCTATTTTGCAATGGATCCACAACTAAATTAACAATATATATTTTTAAAACACCCCACCTTTTAAAACAACAACAAAAAAACATTTATAAAAAAATGCAAGCCACAAAACTTTTGTTTATATATATAATATATATATAAATATGTATAAACAATATATTTATATAATATATAATCTAATATATATAAATGCACGTTTGAAACGTAAAAAAAAAAAAGGTTTCAAAGCTTCGGGAATGATTCCAAATAGATCATTGGATTTGGTGATTGCAGGGAATTTGCTGTTTTTTTTAGGAAAAAAAAAGTTTATTAGTGGAAGTCGCCAAGTTTTTGAAAACCTGTGGGCTTTGCAAAGTAAATAAACCCACACAGTGATCATTTAAAATAAAACAAGAGTGGAGTGGGGGGGGAGATGGGGGGGAAATACATTAAACCTCCACTACTTGTAGAGTTCCAACACTTGGGATCCTATTTGCATCGATCCCTTGGTATCTGTGCACGAAAACGTTGCCCCCCTTTAACTTTGGCTCAGTTCAGAGTGTGGGTCATTTCCGAATGGTCTTTATTCCTTCGTTTTTTTTTAAAAAAAAGGGGGGATTGGGCATTCAGAAGCATCTCTTGCATCCATCAGCTGTGGCTCTCTCCTTTGCCTGTCAGTCTGTGAAGGTGGAGTTGTGACATAAAACCAGAGGGATCCTCCAACTGCAAACTGCAACCAGTCTGAGCCCTTAAAGCTGCTCTCAAGACTGTTGGGAACACACAGCACTTTGGCAGCTGGAAATTGGGACAGAAAACCTTTTGCAAGTCAAAGGTGTGTGTGTGTGTGTGGGGGGGTGGGGGGTTCATCCAGTCTCTGTCAGACAGGGGGAGGAGAGGGGAGGAGAGGAGAGGAGAGGAGAGGAAGGTGGTTTAAGGTGATGAGGTGAGGTGGGTTTGAAGCCAGAGATAACCAAGTGAGATGGAAAATCATCGCCACGTCGAATAACCTGTTTTTGCTTCACTGTGATCTTTCTCATCAATAATTCACACTGGGACTCCGAGAGCCAAAGGAGGAGGGCTGTTACTGCTGTTACTGCTGTTACTGCTGCTGCTGCTGTTCCTATTTAACTCCAGGAAGAGAAATCCACCAGGAAAGAAAGACAGCCCAACCAGGACAAGTGATTTTTTTTCCCCTTCTCCTCTCCCCAACCAAAAAAAAGAAAAGAAAAGAAGATTGTAAATGCTTTATTTGTTTATTTAGTGATTTTTTGGGGTTGTTTTTTCCTTTCTTTCTTTGTTGTTGTTGTTGTGTGTGTGTGTGTTGTTGGATAGGATTAACACCAGGATACCCAAATGTAGAGTAGGTTAAGAAGACCTGCTTCCAGGGGAGGGGATATATATATATATACACACATAAAAAAAAGAGAGAAAGAAGGGAGTAGAACTGATTATTTTATTTTATTAATCAGACACAAACACACACACACACACACACACACACCCCGAGAGGAGAAGGTGGAGGAGATCTACCAGGTGTTATCGTGTGGACGGCTGACCAAGGAGGAGAAGGTGTTGGAGTGAAGGATCTGCCCTGAACTTGGTCCTTGGTCCTTGGTCCTTGGTCCTGGGGAGTGGGGTGTGGGGAGTGGGGGAGTGGGGAGTGGGGGAGTGGGGGAGTGGGGGTGTGGGGGTTGGTTTGGTTTGGCGTTGCTTTGGGCTGAGTGGATCTGCTGAGGAATGGTGCTGTCCATGGTCCTGGTGGCCTTGGCCGGACTGGCACTGGCCACCGAGCCCGTCCTGGCTCAGAACGACACGGAGCCCATCGTTTTGGAAGGGAAGTGTTTGGTGGTCTGCGACTCCAACCCGACCACCGACTCCAAGGGCTCCTCGTCCTCTCCGCTGGGCATCTCCGTGCGAGCCGCCAACTCCAAGGTGGCGTTCTCAGCCGTCAGGAGCACCAACCACGAACCCTCCGAGATGAGCAACAAGACCAGGATCATCTACTTTGACCAGGTACAGCCGGGGAGGGGAGGGAGGGGGAGAGGGGGGGGGGGGGGGGGGGGGGAGGGGGGGGAGGGAGGGGGAGGGGGGGGGGAGAGGGAGGGGGGGGAGAGGGAGGGAGAGGAGGGGTGAGAGGGAGGGAGAGAGGGTGAGAGAGAGGGAGGGAGAGGGAGGGAGGGAGAGAGGGGGGGAGGGAGAGAGAGGGGGAGAGGAGGGGGAGTGAGAGGGAGGAAGGGAGGGAGAGAGAGAGGAGAGGGAGTGAGAGTGAGGGAGAGAGGGTGGAGAGGGAGAGAGAGAGGGAGAGGGAGTGAGAGGAGGGAGAGAGGGTGGGGAGAGGGAGAGGAGAGGGAGTGTGTGATAGTGAGGTGGGGAGAGGGAGAGGAGAGGGAGTGAGAGTGAGGGAGAGAGGGGGGGGCAGAGAGAGAGGATGTGAGTGAGGGAGAGAGGGGGGAGAGTGAGTGAGAGTGAGAGAGGGAGAGGAGAGGGAATGAAAGGGAGGAAGGGAGGGAGAGGGAGAAGTGAGAGGGGGGGAGTTACAGAGAGAGAGAGAGAGGGAGAGAAAGAGAGGGGAGAGGGAGAGAAAGAGGGGGGAGAGGGAGAGAAAGAGGGGGGAGAGGGAGTGGGGAGGGAGAGGAGAGGGAGTGAGAGGGAGGGAGGGAGAGAGAGAGAGAAGTGAGGGAGGCAGTCACAGAGAAAGAGGGAGAGGGGGGGGAGAAGGAGTGGGAGAGAAAGGGAGGGAGAGGAGAGGAGAGGGAGTGAGAGAGGGAGTGAGGGAGGGAGAGGAGATGGAGTGAGGGAGGGAGTGAGAGAGAGAGAGAGAGAGAAGTGAGAGGGAGGGAGTCACAGAGAAAGAGGGAGAGAGAGGGAGTAAGGGAGAGGAGAGGGAGGGAGGGAGAGAGGGAGGGAGCGAGGGTGGGGGGAGAGAGAGGGGTGAGAGTGAGGAGAGGGAGAGAGGGGGGGAGGGAGGGAGAGAGGGTGGGGGGGGGGGAGAGAGGGGGTGAGAGGGGGAGAGGGAGAGGGAGAGGGAGGGAGAGAGTGGGGAGAGGGAGAGAGAGAGGGAGAGGAGGGGGAGTGAGAGCGAGGAAGGGAGAGGAGAGGGAGTGAGAGTGAGGGAGAGAGGGTGGAGAGGGAGAGAGAGAGGGAGAGGAGAGGGAGTGAGGGAGAGAGAGGGGGGAGAGGGAGAGGAGAGGGAGTGAGAGTGAGGGAGAGAGGGGGGAGAGGGAGAGAGAGTGAGAGAGGGAGAGGAGAGAGAATGAAAGGGAGGAAGGGAGGGAGAGGGAGAAGTGAGACGGGGGGAGTTACAGAGAGAGAGAGAGAGGGAGAGAAAGAGAGGGGAGAGGGAGAGAAGAGGGGGAGAGGGAGAAAGAGGGGGGAGAGGAGTGGGGAGGGAGAGGAGAGGGAGTGAGAGGGAGGGAGAGAGAGAGAGAAGTGAGGGAGGCAGTCACAGAGAAAGAGGGAGAGGGGGGGGGGGGAGAGCGAGTGGGAGAGAAAGGGAGGGAGAGGAGAGGGAGGGAGTGAGGGAGAGGAGAGGGAGTGAGAGAGAGAGAGAGAAGTGAGAGGGAGGGAGTCACAGAGAAAGAGGGAGAGAGAGGGAGTGAGGGAGAGGAGAGGGAGTGAAGGAGAGAGGGAGTGAGAGAGGAGTCAGTGAGAGTGAGAGGAGAGAGAGAGAGAGAGAGAATATTTTCCTTTTTTCCCCCCTTTCCCCCCAACCCCCGGACCATAAAACCTTCAGATCTCGAAACAGAGCAGATGTGGTGCAGTTCAGAATATCACCTAAACACAGGGACAGAGAGGACAGCACTTGTCTGGGTCTAATATCTGCACTCACCAGCTCTTTGGCAGCTCTTTCCATCAGAGGAAACGAGGTTATTCAGAGACTAAAATCTCCAAAGCATAAATCTGTTTTTCTGCTGATTATTGCAAACATATACGCGGCGATGTGGATAGGTTGTGCACACAAGAGAGTGAGGGAAACGTGGGAGAGGAAACATCAGCCAACATCACAGAGGCAACAAGTGCTTAAAAATGGGAAGAGAAAGAAAGAGAGAGAAAGATAGAGAGAGAGAGAAGAGAAAGAGAGAGTGAGAGAGAGAGAAAGAGAGACTGTGAAATTCACACGATGTGAAAGTAGTGAAAGTGGATCTCAAGCTGAAGGGGATTTGGTGCAGTTCCAGACATAACTGTTCAGACTTTGGATGCGATCAAAAATGATAATGATCCAAACGATAATCTATGTAACACGTTGTGTATTTGTAGGAAAGCAAAAGGTGGGGGATGTGGGGGTTCAGTGATGAAAAGCTAAATGCAACCCAGTTCATTGAGCTGGTGGGGGGGGTTGGGGTTGGGGTTGGGGGGGGTGGGGGTGGTGGGGGGTAAAGCCATTTTGCACTTTAATATTCACGAATTCCACCAAACAAAGAGGTTAACAGCACTGATGTCGCACAGGTTTCTGTTCTGAACGATGACTGATTTAACTGACTGACTGACCTGAAATCTTATTTGCATTTAAGTGGATAAAGTTAGGGGTGGGGGGGGGGGCTTTTTCAGCTGGTAACTGTTAAGGCTCAAGGTGTGAAATAACAGCACACACATAGAAGGGGCATAAAAGTGTGGGGGGGTCAGTCACACCTGGGAGAGAAAGGTTTGGCTCTGCGCAAATTGGTTCTGATCTGATCACCTCTCACAGCCCTAACACTCACCTTTTTTTGTGTGTGTGTGTGTGTGTGGGGGGGATATTAACCTCTTTTGGGGCTTTTCAGCTCCTTTTGTTTTTAATACGGTGCATATTTCAAATTCCCAGCACTCCATTTCTCTCCATCTGCTTCCATCGATTCGCAAATTGCGCACAGCGCGTTAGTGAATGTTCTGCTTCCACTCACTGGAAGTCATCGCTCATCTCAGAAGCACAGCACATAGATAGCGAATTGAGAAGTGTCAGCGACAATGATTGAGGACGTGTGCATTTTTTAATGATCATTATTTTTTGCCTGACCAATTTTTATATGTACATGTATATATATGTATATATATTTTAAATGACAAAAAATAAATCAGGAATAATTTGCAACCTCAGGCCAATGAAATGCAGAATACATCACATCACATCACGACTGGGGACTGAAGGTGGGAGATGGCACATCGAATTGGATGGGTTCGAAATTATGCTTTCGCGAAACCCAAAAAGTAGTTGATTCTTGAAGTTTGATAAACTTCTTCAAGTGTATTCCCCTTCCAAGTCAGGAACCGACCCCTCATCACCCGTGTGTGGGGACAAATATCATTAATCATGAATTATAGTAATATAATAGTGACGAAGGTACGAGGAAATGGGATGCAATGTGTTACTCTTGAGGGGGGAGGGAAAACCAGACAGGCTGGAAAGGAGTGTTAACTTGACCCCCTTCAAAGACCAAATGAAAACTGGACAAAGGTACGGATCAGCCATGATCTAACAGGATGGCAGAACAGGCTTGAGGGATTGAATGGCCTACTCCTGTTCCTATGCTCCTCAATCTCATCTGTTCCAGTCACCAGGAATCCAGAGTGAATCAATTGATAAGTAGAGCAGCAAGGTGGAAGAGGGAGGTGGGTTGAAATGCAATGTAAAGCAAAAAGATGACACTGGTGGCTTCATCATTCTATGAAATGCAAAGGCCGTACCTTTTCCCTGTGCACTGACAGAGTGCACTGACTTCTCACTCTCTTTTACAGATCTTGGTGAATGTGGGGAATTGTTTTACCCTGGAGTCAGTCTTTGTAGCCCCAAGGAAAGGCATTTACAGTTTCAACTTTCATGTTATCAAAGTCTACCAGAGCCAGACTATTCAGGTCAGTGTTTGCATTTTGCTGGTGCTAAAGTTTGTGTCATTTCAGCCAGAGCATTTAATCTTTCCTTCACCGAACTTCTCTTGCAGCTGCCTAGGTGCATAATTTTAACCTCTCAAAGGGTGTGAAATATTAATATCTGTGTATTTAACTCCTGATATGCAAGACCATGGTAAGATAAGAATTGCACTTAATGTTCACAATTATTTTAACTTTCGAGATCTTTATCCTTATCAATGTGATTGTTTTTCCATTGTTTTGAATGTCAAAGTTCAATTCACAGTCGGCATTTAAAAAAATGATAAACCCAACACTTTGATTTCCCCTGTAACTCTTTCTGGATCATCGATTTCAAGATCCTCACACACGTTTTCAAATCCCTTCACGCCCTGGCACCTCTCTACCTCAACATCCTGCTTACTCCCCAACCTATCACTCGTTACCTCCGCTCGACTGGCTCTGACCTCCTGCTTATCCCTCGTGTCCCCCCCCACCCCATTCCACCTTTCAGCCACTGCACTCCGAAACTCTGGAACACCCGCATTCAATCCTTCCACCTTGCTCCCTCATACCCCATCTGCAGATCACACCTGAAGACCTTCTTCTTCAACCATGCATCCTTATTGTTTCTTTGAGTAACGCTGGCAATCATTATAATTCATATCAAAGTATATTTGCCTTCAAAATACACAAACACTACACTTTACATTTTATTCTGTGAAGCTCTTTGAGATATCCCCTGGACATGAATGGTGCTGTATCAAATTAAAGGTTTATGATTATATTGTGATCATCTGGCAACTTGGTATTGGCAAGAAAGTCTTATCTTATTTCACTGTGAACCATTATATTGATTTTTGAGAGTAGACTTTCAGTTTGAAATGAAATGCAGAGTCAATTCCTGGAGGTATAAGGACAGTTTCCCATTCCACCCTATCCTTGCATTTACTGTTCATTATTAAATGAAATTTTCCTTGATGAAATGCATAACTTCCATTCATGCGTAATATTAACGATCGTTAAATCTAAAAGTCATGTTACTTGACTCATTTAATAGCGCCTCTCATCTCTGGGTCAGAAAGTTGTGGGTATAAGTCTTGTGTAAGGACTTGAGCCCGTTGTCTAGGCTAGGAATTGCTGCTTTGTCAGAGGTGACATCTTTCAGATGAGATGTTAAACCGAAGATTCGATGACTAGTGGATATTAAAGATTACATGACACTAAGAGAAGGGAATTTCTCGTTGTAACTTGGTCCACAATCTTGGTTGCTGATTAACTTCCTGTCTGTTTGTTGGACTGTGATGACATAAATGTCTTCTGTGTTGGCCTTGAAAAACAATAATTACGGTGACGTGCTCTACAATGTTTTGATGTAATAAAAAATGCTATTGCTATAAAAATGCAAGTTTGTTCTCTAAAAGAGAAAGGATAATGCACATTGATATTATTAATCACCACATTTGTTGCAGAAATTATGATTAGAATTGTTATTTAAATGTACATGTCTCTCGCTGCTGATGACAAAACAACTTTAATGAACCTCAATTAACTTTGGATTAAATTAAGGCATCTTTAAAATTATAGTGAGTATCCCACTGAGTAAAGCTCTTGGGTTTATATTCCCAAGCAGATTTGTAAGCATTCTTTTCCCCCCACTGCAATTATTCATTCCAGTGTCGAACAATTCTCTTTGAAGTGACCTTCTCTTGAATTGTTCTTTTCTTTAAATATTGAAACCCTTACGTGGAGTTCTTTAGCGTCGTGGTTACTGCGCTCGCCTTGCAAGCAAGACAACCTGGGTTTGATTCCTGGGCAGGGCGAAACCTTAGGCAAATATCCTTACTCCACACGCCTCTGTTTACCTATCAGTAAGTAGGAATCTGGTTGTCAGTTGATTGGAGGAGGCCGCCAAAAAAACATAGCAAAACGTGGTCACTGAATCCATGACTGTTTGTAGGTCACTGGTGTGCACAATTGGCTTCCATGTTTTTCTCACAAATACACCATCAACCCATTTTACAATATAGTCTGTGAAGCATTTTGAGATGTCTTGAAGACGTGATAAGCTGCTATATTAAATGCAAGGATTATTATTATTATTGTTACATGCCAGAGTTTGTGTTGGGGTACCGCTGGAGGTTAACCAGCTAAAACTGCATAGCTTTCCATTGAAAACACTATCTGGCACACTTATCCAGGTAGGACCAATCTACTAGTTAAGGCTCTGGGTTGTAAGGTTAACAAGAACTGAGTGGGAAGAATTTATACCCACAGTCCTTATACTTTCAGCTCTGTGGAAACTAAAGGAAAACGAAAGAACTGAAAGAGGAAGGATTGATTTCATTTAAACTGTACACTATCTTTTTTTAACATATTCATGAGCATTCTTTCCTAAAGGATTCCATCCTGCTTCATGCACTATGGATAATTCTGATTTTCTTTAGTCATGCTTTTTGGTTTAAGCCTGTGCTGAATTTTACAATTTGATCGGATGAAGTTCCTAATATAAATATTCAGAACACCACATTAATTAACCTTAATTACAACTGGATAAGATGAAAGCTTCTTTTGAATTACAGCAAGTCACCCACTGAGAATAGCCTATTCCATATGTATACCATTTCATTGTTTTATCTTTATTCCACTTTACTGGAGAAAGGTCACAAAACATTATTAATAATGATATGAACAGTTTATCTGTGGTGATCATACATTTCCTTCCAGACAGCTTCAATACAATAATAATAATCCTTGCATTTGATATAGCGCCTTATCAAGTCTTCTAGACGTCTCAAAATGCTGCACAGAATATACTGTAAAATGAATTGACTATTTGTGGGCGAAATGTGGCAGTCTATTGCGTCACAGCATTATCCCACAAACTGTCATGGATTGAGTGACCAAATCATTATTTTATTTATATTTTTTCTTGAGGGATTACTATCGGGCGTGTGCAACATTACATGTGAACATAAGAATTAGGAGCAGGAGTAGGCCATTCGGCCGCTCGTGCCTGCCCCGCCATTCGATAAGATCATGGCTGATCTTCAGACCTAACTCTAATTACCTGCCTTATCCCCATATCCCCTAATCCCTCTATTTTTTAAAAATCTATCAGTCTCAGCCTTGAAGATGTTCAAGGACTGAGCATCTACAGCCTTCTGGGGTAGTGAATTTATGGAATTCACTACCCTCTGAGTGCAGAAATGTTTCCTCAACTCTGTTCTAAAAGGCTGACCCTTAATTTTAAGACTGTGACCCCTGGTTATAGATTCTCCTACCAGGGGAAACAGTCCCTCAATGTCTATTTTATCCAGCCCTTTAAGAATCTTATATGTTTCAATAAGATCTCCCCTAATTCTTCTGTACTCCAGAGAATATAGCCCTAGTTTATTCAGCCTATCCTCGTAGGTCAGTCCCCTCATCCCGGGAACTCACCGAGTGAATCTACACTGCACCCCCTCCAGGGCAAGTATGTCCTTTTTTAAATAAGGAGACCAAAACTGCACACAGTACTCTAGGTATGGTCTCACCAAGGCTCTACACAGTTGCAGCGAGACTTCCCTACTCTTGTACTCTAAACCTTTTGCAATGAATGCTAGCATGCCGTTCGCCTTCTTAGTTGCTTGCTGCACCTGCAAACTAAATTTTTGAGACTGGTGTACAAGGACACCCAAATCCCTCTGAACACTGAGACTATCATATGTGAGCTGCCTACAATTACACAGTCATCGTAAGTACTTTGAGTCACAATGTAGTACTTTGAGATGTCCGCCTGATGTGAATGCGACTATATCAAATGTAAGGATTATAATTATTATAGCTTGCATCTGTACTTATATAGTACCTTTCACATCTCAAACCACTCCATAGAGAGTCAGGCACAACTGAGAGATGAGAGGTCGAAAGGAGGTGACTGAAAGCACAAAGAGGTGGCAGATGCTTAGAGAATTATATATTATATGAGTTAGTATTCCTTGTGGTGTACTACTATTGTAGCAAAATGTGTTGGAAAAATCAGAAAAATTCAAAAATCAGTTCTATTTACTGTTTTAAGATAGCCTAACATCCTTTGCAGTTTGTACTGCACATTTTGTTCGACTCCATATAGTGTATTTAAGCGTCTTATGATTTGGCCACAAATCTGTGCAGAGAGTTCACAACACCATGCAATCTGNAAAAATTAGGTTCCCTTCCATGGTTAGGAAGTTAATGTCCAATCGACAAGCTGTGTGAGGGTAACCATCTTTCAGCAGCTTGGGACGTCCTCCTGACATGTAAATGTAAATTTGTTTTGTATTTCAATCAGAAATTGAGTAAGAACACTCTCGAATTGGTAATATTTTAGTATTTAGGAGGTTTTATATTAGTTTATGCTTCAGTGAAAGAAAGTGGCCTTTTCCTGTACATGTGTGAGCTGCCTACAAATACAAAATTCTACGAAGAGCTTTGAGACATCTCGACAACATGATAAAGTGTTATTGTCCAATACGAGGATTATTTATTCTGATTATTATTATGCACATGATCTCTATTTGCTTCTAGAAAAGTCATTTTTCTCTTTCAAAATGGTGTGTTGTGTACATTCAAAGGTGATGGTGTCTTGTGAGTCTTTCTATGTATTTCATATCTCACACGTGCAGACTGAATGACTGAGAAGGGGCAGGGAAATTCATCATTGAGTACATGGAACTGACTCCAGGGAAGCTGAATACATTGATGTCTGCTTCAAACACATGCAACAATTGAATTATCGGTCAGTCGCTTGATGGCTGTTCGTGTGCAAATTGGCTGCCACGTTTTGCCCACAAAATTCACAGTCAACCCGCTTTACGGGTGGGTTATCTTGCGGGGCTCTTTGAGACATCTCGACAATGTAATAAGCCACTATCTCAAATCCAAGGATTATTATCATAAAACGACACAATTTAATTCATGAAACACATGTCCTACCAGTGGCACGGCAGTAGATATGTACGATGACAAAGCCTTTAGATTCCTGA